AGGCAGCCGGTCCAGCCTCACCAAAAAATACCCCCAGCCAAGAACTACAGCTGAAACCAACCCAAAACTCAGAGAACTCCCAAATCTACATCACTACCTGAAGCAGGAGGAGAAACCGAAATGCCAGGCAGATTTTGTCCTAATGCAAACTGCAAGATATGAGCAGCAGTAAGTCTAAAATGCATTTATCGTGCCCGGATGCCATGAGACATGACTAAGCCCTGCTGGGACTGTGCCCGGGCTGCTGAGCACAAACCCTGAGCCCTCAACACCCCTGGAGGTAGGCAGAGCGAAGTTGTTATTCCCTTTATATTCCCTTTCTATTTATATATCCAAACATCATCACCACCAGCCTTCCCCCAAAGCGGATGGCACTGAACCAGCTGACAAGGAGACAAATGTCAGATCAACAGCCTGGAGCCCACTAGTGACCGAAACAGCCTCCAAGTCACAAGTGACCAACGCACGGCAGCAGCAGCGAGCATCCTGCCCTGGGAAAACCATCGCCTGCTCACACGGACACTCCCCACCGCCCTGGGAGCTCACGGGGACCACGCTGCTCCGGGGGCACCTACGCACGCACCCAGTGAGACCGCAAACCATGCCAGTGCCTCCCGCCGAGGGCTCCAGCCCAGGTTGGTACTACAGGTCTGTGGCAGAGAGACCCTGGGACCCTCCAGCTGCCCCCATCCTGCAAAGCCATCACTTCAAGTGCCCGCGGACGCAGTTAACGGCAGGGACAGAAATGGGGCGCCACAAGTGAGCCCTAAACGCTCCCTCTCTCCCCACTTACACTAACTTGCATTTTCCTTCACGTCAACACTGCAAAACCAAAACATCAGCGAGTTTGCACGGCAAAGTCACCTTAAAAATACGTGGCCGATTGCTCAGCAGCTCCTGCTGGAAAAGCAGGCAAAGTGCTTTCCCTGCCCCACTGCCTGCCTGCAACAGGATGGCATGGGTTGGATGGAGAGGGGGCGAGGGATGGCACCCCACGACCACCCCCTCATTCCGAGGGATCTCGGCGACGTCCCCGTACCTACCTCTCCGCGTTACCTCCCCCAGCTCGGGGTGGCTGAATCCTGCAACCCCCACGGCGGCGCAAAAACGGCGCTGGAGCATCCCCACCACAGCCACCTCGCAGGCAGAGGCACCAGCAAGGACCACCCAAAGCTGGGCTGGCACCCACCGCACTGATGCCTCGGCAGAGCCCGGGGACAAATATTCTTGTGATTCAGAGGTATTTTTTCACCTTGGTCCAGGATTTTCCAAGGGACCTAATGAAACACATCGCACTTGCACCATGCAAGGAGGAATCATATGCTTACTGGTAAAGCAAGAGCCTTCTATCTCAGACAAGCTTACAAAATAAGAGAGTTTGGCCCAGGAAGACAAAAATCAAGATATATTTTGCAGCATGAAAGAAAAAAAAAAAAAAAGAAGCAGCAGCAGCTGTGTTTGCAAACCACCAAAGCGAAACGGAGTTCAAACAGGGATGAAATGGCATCGTCTGACACAGCTTCGATGTCCCAGGTCCGCGGGAGAAGAGAGGAGTGACCCCCTGAAGGGCATGGAAACCAGAGGGCTGGGAGAAGCGAGGAGGTTGCCAAAGCAAGAGGCGAGCCCGTCTGCCAAAGCACGGCCCGAGTCTATCGGAAGGTAACTCGGTCTAGCGGGGAAAGGAGTTAAGGATGGTGTTAGGGAAGAGCCGCTTCCACGAGGCGCCCGGGCGGGATTTCCCACTCCAGCAGCGTGGCAGGTACACGGCTGAAAGAGAGAGGGCTGCAGCTCCAGCCTCTAAAGGTCGAAGACCATGAAAAGCAGGGGGCCCAGCGGCTCAAAACACCTGCAAAAGGAAAACAACTCTCAAAAGACTGACCCCAGCAAGCCGGCGCGCTCCGTCAACCGTCCCTGCACTCCAAGTCCTCTAGAGCTCCTTAAGACAGGGGGCACAGTCCTGAGGTAGCAACCTCAAGAGCCTGAAGACACTGCCTTGCCCGCACAAACGGGCATCATAAATAGTTTGGAAAGCACTCAAATGAAAAAACAACCGTCTGTTAGAGAGGTCGAGGCAACGAGAGCAAAAGGAAGAGCAAGTCAGCCGTGGCACGGCCAGCGCGAAGCCTCTGCGTCTCCCCCCAACCGGGGCATCCCCCGGCCCCAATCGTCACCTGTCCGTCGGGAGCAGCCCGGCTCGCCTCCGTGTGGCGAGAGCCGCGGCCGCCGGCGCGCCGCACTGCTGAAGTTACCGGCGAGCTGAAGTTAGCCAGGCAGAGTTTTCCCCGCTGCCGAGCGGGCGAATGGCATTAAATCAATTCAGATCCGAGCGGATTCTAGGGAAATCCCTAAAACACACTCAAATAAAAGAAATTCGCAGTCATACTGTTAGCGAAGTTGAATTCTCACTCTGATAGTTGAGGGTCTTACATCAGGTCACTCGTCACGTACTCAATAAAAAGCCCTGGTGCAGGCTGGAAAGAAAGGGGTATTTCTACGAGACCCTCCCTCCTTCCTGAGATAAACCTGCTCACGGTTTGAAGACCACCTACACGAAGTTGTTAAAGCTCAGAAATATCTCGTTATCGATTTACAGGATTCATTGTCAAGTGGTTCAAACCTAAGTCAGGGCTTGGAGATTGGAAAAGACACGGTGCTCTGCTTTTCGGGGTTGCAGGTTTCCAAGCGTCCTGCTGGAAGAGGAAGCACAACCTCTAAAATCAGGTATTTCTAGGCAGAGCGATAAACACGCTCCGACCTAAAAGCCCCTGGGGAGCATGGCGTGGTCGGAGTGCCGTATCCCGACCACCTGGCTGAGAGCTCACGTCTTTCTCCAAACATCTAAGCCCTTCGAGGTTCAACCAGCAGCAAGAGCAATAACCAAGGCAAAGCAGAATTAAAGGCGAGATTGCAGAGAATCTCTTGGCAATTCTACCTGGGAATAAACAAAAGTTTCGTACGCAAATGGAGAGCCTGGGGCAAAAAACATGCCTACAGGCTCTTCGATTCTCCTGACACTTCTTCTACAGCCTGAATCCACTCAAAGCAAGAATATCCACATGAAACACTTGGTATTTTATTCCCAGGCAGGCTGGAGGGTTTAGCACTTAACCGCAGAGGAAGAAGTGTGCAAACCTGGATGCAGTGGTTGATTTTACCACTTCAAAAAAAAAAATCTCTAAATATTTCAAAGGTAGGGATCACTTGGTATTAGCACTCAGCATTTACATAGCACTTGCAGTCTGTAGGTGACCAAGTGCTTGTCCGAAGTGCTGAAATATGACTTATCCCCATTTTACAGATGGGAGAACTGAGGCACAGAGAGGTTGAGTGACTTGCCCAAGGCCACACAGTCAGAGAGTGGAGGCAGAGCAGGAAACCGAGCCCAGCTGTTCTCAGAGTGGGCTACACCTTTCCTGCTAAAAAGAAGGCCTATGCAATCCAGAAAACCACCAGCCGCCAAATCTACCCTAAGTATTTTGAAGAGGAAATACATTCTGGTGAAGAGTTAGAACAGCATTACCGAGAGGGGAACAGCAGGTCTCCTCGGATGGGGCAAAGGGAGGGACACAACCCCGGCGAGTGTCACAGCCTACACGGCCGGGCTGGAGCAGGAGAAAGAAGGAGGAAAACAGTGAAACCAGCAGCAACGCATTTTTAAGCTGACGCGAAACGCTGGGCTTAGCTTTGTGCGGTCGCTCCGAGAAGCCATCCATCTCCATCCGCAGAGCTGGGGATTTTTCCAGCTGCTCTCGCCTGGGCTCAGCATCTACCGACGGAGGCTTTTGGGACCACACAGCCAAACCCCCTTTGCTCGCACGCCTGTGGCGGCGTCTCCCCACTTTGCAGTTATGAATAAAGATTACAAATGTTACTGCAGTAAAAAAATCACATTACTACACAGCACTGAAGAACATTTGCCAGCGATACACAGAGTGTCAGGAAGAATTAATCAAAACCACCCTCATCAAAGGTGACACGTACCATACTTTGGGGGAAAACACCCTTGGATGAAAACAGTCCCATACCTGCGTGCTCGCAGTTTTGAGTACATGTTAACAAGGTTCAAATGCATTTGCACAGACAAATGGTGATTTCTCATATCTCAGGCCGATTCGAAGGCTTGGGGTCTTTCTGGTTTTCCCTTTCAGAGATAGGTAAGGAAAGATGTCATGGATGGTTTTGTTGCTGTTATCTTCACATGAAAGGAGGCTGGGAAGGGGGAGGCAGGTAGATTTTCACAATTACAGCTTTCCTGGGATTATTTGGTCGTGTTTTTATCATAATCAGATTCATGGGATTACCAGTTCCCGTCTGGGTTGTTAGTTTCTTGTCAATTAATTGCACCCTGTGTCATTTAATTTCTTCCGGCGATTGAGGGCCAGCTGCTCAATTCCACACTTTCTCCCTAAACGCGTGCTGCAGAAGCAGATGTCAAAAGCTCCGTCTATGCCTTTTAAGCCTAGAGATCTTTACCGAAACCGAGGTGCGACGCCCCCCCTTCCCACCCCACCGAAGCCATCCGGGGTGGGGGGAGAAGCAGATCCGAGGAGCGCCCAGCCCCAGGCATCCTTCTCTTCCCCCCCTA